TATTTGATGAAGCAATTTCCAGAGAGCACCATGTTTACCCCCAAACCCAACTATCTCTCTAGTTTCTCTCTCCGGTCGCTCTCTTGCTGGTCTCCCTCGCTGGTCTTTCTGATGGCTCTCTGGTCTTTCTCTGCTCTCTCTTTCTGGTCTCTCACTCTGGTCTATTTCTGGTCTCTCTGGTCTTTCTGGTCTCTCTGGTCTCTCTCATATCTCTCTCGTCCCTCTGATCTATCAATCTCTGGCCTCTCTCCGGTCTCTCTGGTCTTTCTCTGCTCTCTGGTCTCTCTCACTGGTTTCTTTCTCTGATTTCTCTGGCCTCTCTCTCTGGTCTCTCTCTGATCTTTCCGGTCTTTCTGGTCTCTCTCTGGTCTATCTCTGGCCTCTCTCTGGTCTCTCTCTGGTCTCTCTCTGGTCTCTCTCTGGTCTCTCTCATGGTCTCCCTCTTGCTGGTCTCTCTCTGGTCTTTCTCTGGTCTCTCTCTGGTCTCCCTCTTGCTGGTCTCTCTCTGGCCTCTCTCTGGTCTCTCTCTGGTCTCTCTTTCATGGTCTCCCTCTTGCTGGTCTCTCTCTGGTCTCTCTCTGGTCTCTCAATAATAATTTGACACATCTAAATGAATACACAGGAGACTTTATGTTTTCCACGTCAACATGGAGTTTCTTGGCTCATCGTCGCGGGGAAGAGAAGAAGCAGGCGTAGAAAGACCGCCTCTTGACAATAATTTTCCCTAATCTCCTGATACGCCTACAGTGCTATACTCTTCTGGATTAAAAACAGCACAACATGTGGACGTCCATCTTGAACCATCAATTTAGACAACTCTGAAACCGACCCAAATCTAAGACTCACATAAAGTAAACAGGAAGAACAGAAAAAGCTCGGCTGCGTCTTAAAACAACTTGAGTATTTTCTTTGAGACGGGGACATTGCCTAAAAGCTCCACTGAGTTTTTAAAAGCATACTTCAACTTAGACCAGTACATTTTACTTGTTTGTCATCAATTATCCCATGTTCCAAGTTTAGAGTGAAGTTACTGTATGTGAGAAGAGAAGCCGGGTATTTTTGGAAATATTGAAAAAAAAATGAAATAAGCCCCTCTCCCTCCAAAACATCCACATTAGACATGCTATAGCTAGTTTAGCATCTAACTGATCGTTATCGACTAGATCACGGGTCTCCAATCTTTCTCAATCTGTGAGACTTTTGTACAATAGATATAAAAGGTATAGGGTAGAGTAGATTAGAGTAGAGTATAATAGAGTTGAGTAAAACAGGACTATAGAGAAGAGTAGGGTAGAGTAGAGTAGAGTAGATTAGGGTAGAAGAGAGTAGAGTAGGATAGACTATGGTAGAGTAGAGTAAAACAGGGTTATAAGATAGAGTAGCGTAGAGTAGATTTGAGTAGATTAGGGTAGAGTGGAGCAGGGTGTAGGGTCGAGTAGAGTAGGGTGGGGTGGAGAAGAGTAGGGTGGGGTAGAGTAGGGTATAGGGTCGAGTAGAGTAGGGTGGGGTAGAGAAGAGAAGGGTAGGGTAGAGTAGAGTAGAGTAGAGTAGAGTAGGGTAGGGTAGGGTAGAGTAGGGTAGGGTAGGGTAGGGTAGAGTAGGGTAGGGTAGAGTAGGGTAGGGTAGAGTAGGGTAGAGTAGTGTAGAGTAGGGTAGGGTAGGGTAGAGTAGAGTAGGGTAGAGTAGGGTAGGGTAGAGTAGAGTAGAGTAGGGTAGGGTAGAGTAGAGTAGAGTAGAGTAGGGTAGGGTAGGGTAGGGTAGAGTAGGGTAGGGTAGGGTAGAGTAGGGTAGGGTAGGGTAGGGTAGAGTAGGGTAGGGTAGGGTAGAGTTAGGGTAGGGTAGGGTAGGGTAGGGTAGGGTAGGGTAGGGTAGGGTAGAGTAGAGTAGGGTAGGGTAGGGTAGGGTAGAGTAGGGTAGTGTAGGGTAGTGTAGAGTAGAGTAGAGTAGAGTAGAGTAGAGTAGGGTAGGGTAGGGTAGAGTAGAGTAGGGTAGGGTAGAGTAGAGTAGAGTAGGGTAGGGTAGAGTAGAGTAGGGCAGGGTAGAGTAGGGTAGGGTAGAGTAGAGTAGAGTAGAGTCGAGTAGAGCATTTATGTAGTTAAAATAATGTAAACATAAACAGATCACATGAGTCTGGGTTCATGAGACGATGGAAAAACACAGTTAAACTAGAGGTGTTTTAACATTGGCCTCACACACAGTCAAAAACATGCGACATCACAGGACTCAAACACTGTGTACCGCACGTGTAAGTGTTGGTGCAGGCCCCTAGTGTCTCATCAGCAGGTCTCATCAGTATGTTTGCCCGTGCTCTGTCTGCTCTCACATCTGCCCTCAGGTTGTTGTGGCGACTCATTAGCATACGCCGCCACCGCCGCCTCATTAGCATACGCCGCCGCCACCGCCACCGCCGCCATCGTCTCGGCGTTTGACCATCACCCTGGAATCCTGGGCCGTGCTACAGACAGCAAGCAGCGAGCGCTAATAAAGTCCAGATAAAAGAGGCTTGTAAGTCCCGGCTTTGCTCTTATCGGGAGATGGAGTTAATTGTTCAGCGATAAAGAAGCTTGTTTTGAAAAGATGACGACTGGATTTGAAGTTGGAAAAATGGAAATAACTTTGGTAGAAAGCGGATTATTGAATTTAATGTTTTGGGAGGTTCTTTATTGTTTGGGTTTTGGGACAAAGCATTAGTCTCATAATGAAAAAAGGTGCCTCATGAATGTGAGAGCCAGATCCCTGTGAAGCTAAGCGTGGCAGGGCCTGGTTAATACTGCGATGGGAGACCTCTAGGCAAGACACTTCACCCACATCAGAATGTGTCCGGATATGTCCAATCAGCTGTAATTTATGAGCCGAGAAAAACTAAACATTACATAACTCAAAAGATGTAAGTTCCACACATGGCCACTGGGGGGCGCCTTGAGCTCTTTGAATGAACTTTTTTTAGCATAATGTTTGTGCGATGAGGCTTAAAATTAATTCACAAATGCAGCGTATGACCCTGAACACGGCAGTATACAACACAAAACTCTGAGTGCAACAGCGCCACCTACAGGCAGTTCAAAGTTTTTATCTATCTCGTCCCAAAGACTTGTACCATATAATTTCCCCATTTGGACAGATTGGAGTTATACAATTCTCTATGAGGACCAGCAAGACAAAAGTTAAATCTAATAATTAATCGTTATTTTTATAGCGCCTTTCACAGACCAGAGTCTAAGTGGTTAACAATTGTGGGCATTTGTCTCCCACTCCACACAGAGACGGGAGCGGGGCCAGTACAGGAGGCACATGTACAGGTCTTTAGTGGTAGGGGAAACCGGAGCACTCGGAGGTAACCTATGCAGACACGGGGAGAACATAAAAATTCCACTCAGAAATGCACTGTTCCGACCAGGATTCAAACCCCCTTCTTGCTCAGCCACTGTGCCGCTCGTAACCCATATAGAGAGATAGATAGATAGATAAATAGACTTGATTGCCGTCTAAGAACTGTTTGAAAATAATAAATGCCACTCTCACTGTTGCTTTGGAATCAAAGCCTTTCTCAACATTACTGCACACAAACTAAAGTACAACCTCCAACGAGAGAGAAAAGCAGCTATCAAAGTCATGTCAGGGTTTTTTTCTCTTACATTTAGTCCAAAGTGATGAATACATCTGAGGTATATTCACAAAACCGATCCAGTACAACTCAAATATTTTATTCAATATTAAAAACATCTCTCTTTGAAAGTTGTGAAAGGGCAGCCAAGTATGTCAAGGTCTGCTACGGCTAAACATTTACAGAACCACACTCAAATTAAGGCTAAAAAAGAATTACACTAACCCCTGAGTGGACTCTGGATGAATATATAGCAAAGTTCCCCTGTGACCCGAGGAGACAGGTCCAGTCGAGTGGAAAATTATCCAATGCAGATGTTGGAATAGAAAGGGGAACCAGAGGGACACCAGCCAAGAAAGAGAGAAGGAGGATAGACGCTGAGAGTTCTCACATGTTTGGTTACGTTGGTGTAACTTACAAAGTGGACGATGTCTTGCAAACTCAACAGACTCATCCGTCATTCACAGCCCTCACGATTTTACATCTTGTTGTAGATTTTTTTATACAGCACACCTCGAAACACTATCATGTGTCAACAAATGCCTTAGGTTAATGAGTTTACAGCAAAAAAATGGACAATAGATAGCCTTGGAAGTTTCTTTTCAGAGAGATGAGTCTTCCTAATCTCCCCGGACAGGAGATGAGACCGGACAAGACCAGACCCAGACCAGACTCTCAGTCGGTCTTACCATATATGGACCAGAAGATGATGTCTCGAGATACACCACGCCCCTTCTGCACATTTTACTATATGTGATAAATCTTTGCTGTGTTAGTCAGTCAGAGCAGGGAACGTCAGGGCCAGGAGCTCAAAAGAGTCTTGTATTAGTATTTGATTGTAAAGAGAATTAAATATTTGAATGTGATTTTTTTTCCTATGGTGTCTTTTAATAGATAAGCCTTTGTGACCGTGGTCTTCGAAAGGTGCTATATAGATACACTGTACTTCATTTTACGGGGGAGTACTGTTTATGTTATGTTATTTGACTCTTAACCTGCTCCATGATGCTCTTTGCCTTGACACAAGTCTAGGTGCAAATTCTGTATTTCTTTATGTAATCATAGTTTATACAGAAAGTACACAGAACATTAGAGAAGAGGGAGTGACCCATGAATACCAAGTTATTGTATGTTACCCACTTTCTCCAACCGGAACCAAACCAACCAAACTCTTCCCTCTTGTACATTTCTATTGATATTTACCAAGGTGCAGGTCTTAGCAAAAATATCTGGATCTGCAACAACTTCTCAAGTGGCCATATGTGCAAGTGAAAGCCCGATCCTGTCAGACCTCGGAAGCTAACCCTGGCAATATGAAAATCGACTCTTTTGGATGTGGGAATGAGGAATAATGTATTGTGTGTGAGTTTTGCTTGGTCTGTATCCAGGGACTTACCCAGAGGAGACATCTCGGGCACTCCGGCCAGGTAAGGTCCGTCCAGGAACTTGGGCTCGTTGTCGTTGATGTCCTGGACCTTCACCACGAACTCGGACCTGGGCTCCACGGGGACGTTGGTGAGACGGTCCACGGCCTGAGCCTGCAGCGTGTAGTAGGCCTGGGCTTCGCGGTCCAGGCGTTTGGTGGCGTGGATGTCTCCCGTGTTCTCGTCAATGGTGAAGATGGACGAGGAGCCTTCCCCCGTCAGCACGTACTTGACTTTACCGTCGCCTTTGTCCACGTCCGAGTGAAGCTGCAGGCGAAGAGAGAGACTGGTTAAAAAGTTGGATGTAGACTTTTGCGTTATTAGCTGCGGTAGCTAACTTGGTAACACTATAGATTAGCCCTCACTATATAACAGACATATACGTACTGATTAGTGTCTGCTAACCCCAACCCTAAATCTAACCCTGACCCACATGGACATGGGAAAGTGTCAGTTTGTAGAAGTACTAGTAGTAATGAGGCTGTGTAGAACTGAGGGATTTTATATTTTTATCTTTCGTTTTAATGTTCTGTTATTATTTATGATTTTAATTAGGGCTGTCCAAAATAGCGCGTTATTAACGCGTTAACGCAAATCAATATTAATTTTTTTTTTTTTTTTTTACTTTTTATTGCAGACAAACACATATACAGAAAAAAAATAGAAACAAAGAAAAGGACTAGTTCAGATACATTGTAGACAGAGATTACAAACAATATGTAGTTGGAGATACAGGGGGCCAAAGAAGAAACCCAGAAGGGCACATAGGAGGGGGGGGGGGGGACATGAAGTGGGAGATGGGGGGAGGGGTTAATAAAAAAGGCAATACAAGCAAACAGTATACAGTCATAGATATACCGAAGGTAAACAGAGAAACAGCATAGAGTATTCACATGAACAAATTTACAAAATATTTACAGATTGTTTATCATCATCATAATGACACCATGATGTTTCTATACAGTCTATGGTCTATACCCACACATACACACACACACCCACACACACACATTGAAGGGGCTTTTTGTTACCAATTATTTATTTTGTCATCCATTTATTGATGATTTTGCATCAAATGTTAGTGTGTAATATAACACTACACATTGTTTTCAATAAAAAAAGCAATTGCACACAGCACGCAAATGTGTGACTAATTTGCGATTAATCGCGAGTTAACTATGAAATTCATGCGATTAATTGCGATTAAATATTTTAATCGTTGGACAGCACTAATTTTAATGCTATCTTGTTCAGCACTTTGAGTTGCCTTGTGTATGAATTGTGCTATACAAATAAACTTGCCTTGCCTTGCCTTGCCTAGAATAAGGACTAATACGTGCTTAATAAACACCATTTAACAGATAATTAACCATTAACACAACATACACTTTTTTTCCTACTGTTTGGACAAATGGCTTCTATATTATTATATGTGTAAATTTCTCGATTGTGAAATCCAAAAAGTTTATCTTATCTTATTATTTCATTTCACGTTGTGAGATTTCATAACTATTCTACAACTTTTGTTAAGGTTAAACTCATCATTCTACCAATGTGCAGAAGCCTGTACTTTTCCACTACTTGTTTTGACTCTCTCTGCTGGCACTGTGGCAGCTGCTGATTGGAGGACTCTGTTTCTCCTGAGTATATTACCAGTGGCTGTCTAACATTGGTTGTTCGTGTTGTTCGTGCTGTCTCAAACAAACGACGATAAAACATGTCTTCTGTCTGAATGAAAGACACGATCCCAGACTTTGTCATCTTCTTCACCGTGTTTGAACTGTTGAATCGATTACTTTTTAAATTCCTTGATAGAGACAAATGCAGACTTAGACTTAGACTTAGGGAGACTTTATTGATCCACAGGGATATTGCGTTGTCACAGTAGTTTGCATAGTATTCCGCAATAAAAATATCCGTAAAGTAACAACCTGAAAATTAGAATAATATTGATAATATCAGATATTGTAGTGATGATGATGTAGTGATTTAGGCCACTGAAGAATTGAATTGAATTGAACGGGAAAGTCCTCTCACAGACACTGATACACACACAGACACACACACACACACACACACACACACATTAATGATGATAATAATAACACATTTTATTTCTTAGTCGCCTTTCTTGACACTCAAGGTCGCCTCACAACAGAAAAAAGTAAATGGTAAAAACAGTTCAAAGAGAGGACACACACACACATATACACACACGCACACACACACACACTTACACACAACAGTTTCATACCTGTACATTACAACCAAACCTCGAATTCCTCTCATTCACTTCATTTCAACAACAAATCCAGATTCTCTCTCTTTGTTTAGTCGCACTTTCAGTCCTGGAAAGCCGAGATCTACTTGTGGATTTCGTGCCAGGTCGCCTGTTTAAGTACGCACACACACACACACACACACACTCACACACACACTTGTCTTCCACCATCCTCCCACCAAAAAAACCACCAATTGACTTTACAGCGGTTTGATAATTGACTCGTGCGAAGAGCGCTCGGCGGTAAATTCATATTCATGTAAATTACATCTGTCAAAACATCACACACTGCCTCTGATAATCACTGTGTTTATTCAATAATTATCCGAACTGGAAGCAAAAGCCCAAAACACGCGCAGTTTATGCATGCAGCCATTAGACTTCCAAATCACACGTCACATTTGGCTAATAAAAAGGGACAAAACTAAATGCTCTTGCTAACCGCCGCTCCAAGTTCCCTCTGCAAACGCTTATTAGCAAATGTCAGAATCTCTTTGAAAAGCAAAAATATGGCTCATGACATTTTTCTCAATGGACCTTTTAACGTTTGGAGGGTAAATTGAATGCTTGCGGAACGGTAGCAAAGATCTTGAATGTGTTAGCGTGTTTTTTGTAATAGATTTGGGTAATTTAGCGACGGAGGAAAGATATTATTTAACAGAAGCAAAAGAGCCAGTTTCTTTCTAGTGTCTTGTTATAAGCGGAGGGTTCTCTCTGCTCTACGGCCTTTTCCTGCGGCTGTCTTGCAAAGCAGAAGCCGTTTTAGTCCAATTTAATTTCGCACTACAATACTTAATATGCTTGTGTGCGTGCGTGTGTATAAGTCTGTGTGTGTGTGTACAATGTGTGTGTGTATGTGTAAAATTTGTGTGGAGCCCTAAATCCCAGCAGCAGTCGTCTCCGAGGACTTTACAGAGTGGTCGATTCCTCAGCATCAGGAATCGTTCAAACCGTTCAAACACAAGGTAATGCTATAATAACAAACACAAACTGCTGCAGAGGCAAGAGAGAGACCGGAGGGAGGACACAGAAAGACCAGAGAGAGGCCAGAGAGAGACCAGAGAGAGACCAGAGAGAGACCAGAGAGAGACCAGAGAGAGACCGGAGGGAGGACACAGAAAGACCAGAGAGAGGCCAGAGAGAGACCAGAGAGAGACCAGAGAGAGACCAGAGAGAGACCAGAGAAAGACCAGTGAGAGGCCAGAGAGAGGCCAGATAGAGACCAGAGAGAGACCAGAGAGACCAGAGAGAGACCGGAGGGAGACCAGAGAGAGACCAGAGAGAGAGAGAGAGACCAGAGAGAGACCAGAGAAAGACCAGTGAGAGGCCAGAGAGAGGCCAGAGAGAGACCAGAGAGAGACCAGAGAGACCAGAGAGAGACCAGGGAGACCAGAGAGAGACCAGAGAGAGACAGAGAGAGACAGAGAGAGACCAGAGAAGACCACGAGAGAGAGAGGCCAGATAGAGACCAGAGAGACCAGAGAGACCAGAGAGAGACCGAGGGAGACCAGAGAGAGACCAGAGGGAGACCAGAGGAAGACCAGAGGGAGACCAGAGGGGGACCAGAGAGAGACCAGAGAGAGACCAGAGAGAGGCCAGAGAGAGACCAGAGAGAGATCAGAGAGAGACCAGAGGGAGACCAGAGAGAGACCAGAGGGAGACCAGAGAGAGACCAGAGAGAGACCAGATAGAGACCAGAGAGAGACCAGCGAGAGACCAGAGAGAGACCAGAGAGAGAGACCAGCGAGAGACCAGAGGGAGACCAGCGAGAGACCAGAGAGAGACCAGAGAGAGACCAGAGAGAGACCAGAGAGAGGCCAGAGAGAGACCAGCGAGAGACCAGATAGAGACCAGAGAGAGACCAGAGAGAGACCAGCGAGAGACCAGAGAGAGACCAGCGAGAGACCAGAGAGAGGCCAGAGAGAGACCAGCAAGAGACCAGATAGAGACCAGAGAGAGACCAGAGAGAGACCAGCGAGAGACCAGAGGGAGACCAGAAAGAGAGACCAGAGAGAGACTCACAGACTCAGGAACCCTCCAGCGCCCCCCAGTGACTGGAGACAAAAACCATTGTCCAGAACAAAACCTTTTCACGTAATTTCCTTTTATTCACGACTTTTTCTAACTTCATTCTCTGCTGTTTATTTCCGTGCCGCTCTTTGGAAGCTGCCGTTAACTGCTCTTTAAGAACAAAACAGGTTTAAGCGATGAGTGGAAAGGTCAGAGCTGCGTGGGAGAAAGTGGGCGGTTTCCATCGATTTGATCAACTTTGAGTTCTTCATTAGTTTTTCTCTGTGTGTCGGAGCCAAGGACAGAAGCTCACCTCCCAACAGAGTACTTTTAATAACACAGGACTTCTCCGTATAGGTCGGTATAAAAACATGTGTAAGGTGTGATCCAAGGCGTAAGACCAGTCCTAAACAGGTGAACAGATGACAGTGGTTCTAAAGGATGGGTCTGATTAAACGGACTTTCAATTAGACACAGTACTGTATAATGTCGGATATTTTATTGTCTTCTTATAGAGATGTGTCCAGAGGGTGTTGCTCGGTCAGACCCAGAGCTGGAGGATTTTGACTTGACTTGGTGTCTTATCTAATGCACATTTGGACTGAAAGACAACACTATAGAAGCATTTTGAATGAATCTCTAAAGGGGAATTGTTATTAAATTCAAAATATAAAAAAATTAAATAATTGCGTGAAATAATTGCGACAGTAGCTCAGTTGGTAGAGCATTGGCCTTTGAGCCAGAGGGTCTTGGGTTCGAGCCCGACTTTCACCATTGGCTCCCACTGTCTGCTGTCGTTGTGTCCTTGGGCAAGACACTTAACCTCTGGGAACACCAGCCACAGTGGGGCGGCTGCGGCTGTAAAGTGCTAAACTGCTGTTGTGTCCATAGGCAAGACACTTCACCTACATTGCCTAGAATGAGTCTGGTGTGTGTGTGAATGGTCTGTGGTGGTGGGAGGGGCTGATGGCACAGACTGGTTGCCTCGCTTCTGTCAGTGTGCCCCAGGGCAGCTGTGGCTACAGTCGTAGTTTATCACCACTGTGTATGGATTGAAAGAATAATGACATGTAAAGTGTCTTTGAGTGTCCAAAAAAGCGCTGTATAAAACCGATGCATTATTATTATTGAGTCATATACTGTATGTGTAGAGAAATAATGACAATAATCGTACTAATAATACCTTTTCTTTCTATGGCACTTTCTGGGAACCCCAGGTTGCCTCACAAAGGTAAAAAGATAAAAAATAAAAGCAAAGTATCTGTGTATCTGTGCATGTGTGTGTGTGTGTGTTTGTGTATGTGTGTGTTTATGTGTGTATGTGTGTGTGAGTGTGTGTTTGTGTGAGTGAGTGTGTGTTTGTGTGAGTGAGTGTGTGTTTGTTTATGTGCGTGTCAGTGTATGTGTGTGAGTGAGTGTATATGTGTATGTGTATGTGAGTGTGTGTGTGTGTGTGTTTGTGTATGTGCGTGTCAGTGTATGTGTGTGTGAGAGTGTATGTGTTTGTGTGTGTGTGAGTGTCAGTGTATGTGTGTGTGAGTGAATGTATATGTGTGTGTGAGTGTGTGTGTGTGTTTGTGTATACGTGAGGGAGTGTATATGTGTGTGTTTTAATTTGGTGATTGTAACTTTTAAATGTTGTCTATGTGAAGCATTTTGTGTTGCCTTTTGTAAGAATTGTGCTTAACCAAAACTAAAATAAAACCATTGATGTAACCAAACAAAAAACAATATAATTTTAAGTTTTAAATTCAACCAAAAAATGGCTGCACCAGATTCAGCACCAGCTACTTTCCTTGATGAAGACCAGCCCTAACCGGGAGCATGTCCAAACTACATTCAATTAGGGTTTTTGGGTCTTGGTTAAAACAATATTCAGCTGAACAAAAACATCAGAAATTAGTCACTGTTCAGTCGGCATAAAGTGTCAATTAGTAAGTAAGTAAGTAAGCTTTTTATTTATATACCGCCTTTTCACTGCACATCGGAGTCTCAAAGCGGTTTACAATTGTTGGGTGGGAGTGCCAGTACAGGAGGCACATGCCAGACATGCCTATTGGACATATTTTTAGTGGTAAGGGAAACCGGCGCACCCGGAGGAAACCTACGCAGACACGGGGAGAACATGCAAACTCCACTCAGAAAGGCACTGGTCCAACCGGGATTCGAACCCAGGACCTTCTTGCTGAGAGGCGAGAGTGCTATCCTCTCAGCCACCGTGCCGCCCACAATTACAGAATATAAACAACCAGACAAGGCGGCGAAACACCAAACTGTGAGTGTCAATGACAAAACGTGAATTATTAGCTAGACTTTAAGAACAAAAATAACTAAACCTCTCTCTAGCTCAGGGCTCAAAGGACTTTCCCTTCATTTCTAGCGACAGAAATCAAAAAGAAAAAGTAAAAGAAAGAGTTTTTGACATCAGAATAAAACAGCAGATTCTCAGTTCTATGTTGATGGACTAATATTGGGCCTCATTCACGAATAACTTCGTAAGAAACTACTCAACTTTCTTCTCAAGTTGTCCTTAAGTAGATTTCTAAGAAGTCCCCACGTGGGATTCATCAACGCACTCGTAAGGCGCTGAATTGTTCGCAGCTGTTCTCTCAGATTGATGAATCCCCTTTCCTCGTAAGTACAGCGCGCGTGCCAGGTGCTTCATTACCATAGGTACTTAGCATAAGTAACCGCCCATTAATGCCCATATAAGGGACTGCAGGGCCGTGTGCAGACGCCAGAGGAAACAGCAACAGGCCTAAAGCAGGCTTTTGCCAGACTGAGAATAAAGTTATAAAATGTTGACTTAAAAGTCGAAATATTATGATAATAAAGTCGAACTAGCAAAATTATGAGATTAATCTAAGAATATGATGAGATTAATCTCAAAATGTTATGAGCTTAATTTAAAAATATATTATGTATTATTTTAAAGATTAATCTCAAAATATTTTGGACCCTGGGAGGAGATCCAGCGCGGACCAGCGCTGAGACCAATGCAGACCCGAGGAGAGACTGGAGTGACCAGCACACAGAAACCAGCGCGGACCTATAGGAGAGACCGCATAGACTGGAGTGACCTGACTGGAGAGACCGGTGCGCAGAGACCAGCGCGGACCGAAGATAGACCGCATAGACCAGACTTGAGAGACCAGCGCGGACCCGTCCCGTATGGATCCAGGAGCATGCAGCACGGACCCGTATGGAGAGAGACCAGTGCAGACCCGTATAGATCCATGGGAGAGACCAGCGCAGACCCGTATAGATCCATGGGAGAGACCAGCGCAGACCCGTATAGATCCATGGGAGAGACCAGTGCAGACCCGTATATGGGAGAGACCAGCGCAGACCCGTATAGATCCATGAGAGAGACCAGTGCAGACCCGTATATGGGAGAGACCAGTGCAGACCCGTATATGGGAGAGACCAGTGCAGACCCGTATAGATCCATAGGAGAGACCAGCGCAGACCCGTATAGATCCATAGGAGAGACCAGCGCAGAGACTCAGCGCGGACCCAGTAACCTCCTGCAGCAGCAGTATATATGCCGTTGTTCTGTGGCCCGTGGATAAAGAAATGCCCCCTATAAATAGGAAGGGGTCACTAATACACGGCAAGATTTCCAATGTATTTGATAAAGCGTTGGCACATTTCATTTCAAAATGAATTAAAAAGTAGGCCAGATCTGCAGTGAAAAAGGCGGTATATAAATAAAGATTACAATAAAGATTACTACAAATAAATAAATACATACATCGATATGACGGACATATCACTGGAATGTTGTATTTTTATTCAACTTCACCAAAGAGGACAACCCCGGCTGTGAACATGTCGGCACTGAATGCGTACGAGTGCTCCTGAGGACTCGTAGGATTTGTACTTGCCCAAGAGAAATTCTGGTTACGAGAAATATTCGTGAATGCCACTTTCTTCGTAAAAACCGCGTAAGTAGGATTTACGTACAAATCTGTTCCTAAGAACCGTTCGTGAATGAGGCCCATTGTTCCTAAAAGAGACTATAAAGAGCCAGAGCACGCGGGACGGGGAGAATAAAAAACATCCATGGAAACATAAATAAAGCAAATGTTGGCGAGGTGATACATGAACATGACAAGTGAGAGTATTTGAAGTTTACGTCTGCTCCAGGTTTGAACAATCAGTGGCGTTGGCACATGTCTGCAGGGACGGCAAACCGCTTTTTTCATTTACCGCACTTTTTTTCCCTTCTCAGAACACACACGGATGTAAATTTGTTGCGAAGCGTTCGGAGCTGTCAGCGGTGTCGGATGTTTGAGCTGAAAATGAACACGGAGAGAGCAGAACAACCTTGTGCGTTTGTGCGTTTGTCAGCGGTTCATCATCGTCTGCAACAAATTAGAGGAAAATAACTTTGATTTTGCTTTTTGCTTTTCGAAAAACGAGGTGGGAAAAGACATGATTCAGAGGTGAGAGATGTGGCTCAGGAATCTGCAATCACAATGTTCAACTTATTAGGTTGCAATGGAAAAAGTAATGGAAAATATGTATTTAAAATATCTAAAATTTGGCAAAATGTGTGTGTAATTTGAGCACATTCTGACTTAAAACTAGATTTGTCAATGGGACAAAGCAAAAGGATCGTGTTTTAAATAGATACAAGAAATGTCTCCCTTGGAACGAGAAAATATAGTTTGAGAATCTTGCTTTAACACAGACAGACTTGGAAAACTTACAGAATTTACCATAAACTCTAAGATTCACTGTGTAACTTTTATTGCTGCCAAAGAAGAGCTCTAAACAAGGTGCTGAAAGAGGACTGTGAGCTGTGAGACCAGAAAGAGACCAAAGAGAGACCAGAGTGAGACCAGTGAGAGACCAGAGAGAAACCAGAGAGAGACCAGAGAGAGACCAGAGAAAGACCAGAGAGAGACCAGAGAGAGACCAGAGAAAGACCAGAGAGAGACCAGAGGGAGACCAGGGAGAGACCAGAGAGAGACCAGAAAGAGACCAGGGAGAGACCAGAGAGAGACCAGAAAGAGACCAGAGAGAGACCAGAGAGAGACCAGAGAGTGACCAGAGAAAGACCAGAGAGAGACCGGAGAGAGACCAGAAAGAGACCAGGGAGAGACCAGAGAGAGACCAGAAAGAGACCAGAGAGAGACCAGAGAGAGACCAGAGAGTGACCAGAGAAAGACCAGAGAGAGACCAGAGAGAGACCAGAGAGAGAGACCAGAGAGAGACCAGAGAGAGAGAGCAGAGAGAGACCAGAGAGAGACCAGAGGCCAGAGATGTGGCTCAGGAATCTGCAATCAGAATGTTGAACTTATTTGATTTGAACTGAAAAATTGATGGAAAATAAGTGAGAAATTGCTCAAATTTTGCTAAATGTGTCTTGATTATCTTCAGATTTGAAAATGGGACAAAGCACAAGGGTCTTGTTTTAAAAAATATACAAGAAATGTCTCCCTTGGGATGAGAAAATCAAGCAACAATTCTTGAAATGAGAATAAATGGCTTTGTCCCGTTGGAAAATCTGGTTTTAACACAGTCAGACTTAGACTCACAGCCAAAGAAAGGAGAGCTCTAAACAAGGTGCAGGATAAAAACACATATTAGCCGCATTGCTATATAAGCCTCAAAGGGCAAAGAGCTATAAGAAAGTAGCGGCTTATAGTCCGGAAATCACAGTCAAAGTGTTGAAGCAGGACTTAAACATGTTCCATCCCACTTCTCTGGAGCCAATAAATAAATCCGAAATCTACCGTGCGCTAAAAAGCCGCGATGCTAGCTGCGTGTCACGTCCGCCCCGGTCATTCTTAAGTTGCCCTCTGGCTGTGAATTCGCCATCAGACTTAATTGTGCTGACCCTCGTCTCTGTCGCTTAGAATTCAGGCCGCGATCCGCCCCCGGGCTCACCAGATGTCCCGTGAAGCCCGCCGACGACAACAGCAGCGAAAAAGACAAGACGCAATCCAGGCCCACGCCACCGGACTGCGCTCGCTCGCCCTTCAGGACCCCTGTCAATCAAGCAAACAACGGATGATCCCGCCCACATCAGGAGTAGAGTGAGGGGAACCAGTTTGTGTGAGGTGCAGTGGGGTTTGTTTATCTGATAGAAGATGTGCTTTTGGACAAAGTAAAAGTCAGTACTGGGACTAGCTAACATTTATTTTTCTATTTCAGTATTTTTTTAATGAATTGTGTTGTTTTTTGTTATTGTCTAGTGCTGATAGTACCAGGATGTCATTCATTGAGGCTGAGGTGTAATTTTAAAACCACAAAAGTAAGTGGTAATGCTGCACAGCCTCAGTCCTGGGTCTACAGCCTCAGTCCTGGGTCTACAGCCTCAGTCCTGGGTCTATAGCCTCAGTCCTGGGTCTACAGCCTCAGTCCTGGGTCTATAGCCTCAGTCCTGGGTCTACAGCCTCAGTCCTGGGTCTACAGCCTCAGTCCTGGATCTACAGCCTCAGTCCTGGATCAAAAGCCTCAGTCCTGGATCTACAGCCTCAGTCCTGGATCTACAGCCTCAGTCCTGGATCTACAGCCTCACTCCTGCATCAAAAGCCTCAGTCCTGGATCTACAGCCTCAGTCCTGGATCTACAGCCTCAGTCCTGGATCTACAGCCTCAGTCCTGGGTCTACAGCCTCAGCCCTGGATCTACAGCCTCAGTCCTGGGTCCACAGTCTCAGTCCTGGATCTACAGCCTCAGTCCTGGGTCTACAGTCTCAGTCCTGGATCCACAGCCTCAGTCCTGGATCTACAGCCTCAGTCCTGGATCTACAGCCTCAGTCCTGGATCTACAGCCCCTCCGTCTGTCTCTCTCGATGTGGGTCTCCCTGAGGTTTCTCACTTTTCATCACTGGGTTTTTATTGAGTGGTTCATTGCTGATGCAGGAGGGTCTAAGGACAGTGATGATCCAGGACATTTATAAGATAAGATAAAGTTTATTGATCTCACACTGGAGAAATGTACATGTCACATTTAGCAAAGATAGAATCACTCAGAATGTGCAAAAGACAGAAGTGTGTAACATGTTAAAGGTTAAAATGAAAATGTATTTCCATTTATGGACAGTGGTCATCCCGCTCCCTATGGACACATTGCTGCTTTATGTGTTTGTTATTATTGTATTATCTGATTCCCTAAGCTGTTTTTTCTGCCTAGCAACCATACAAAAGATGGATAATCAACGTATTAAGAAAACATGTTATGGTATTTCACTTTTGCACCACGTTTTTTCTGCCGGGACAGACATAATGTATTTTTTTTGTCACTGTTTCATAATTGTAACTTAAAACCTCTTTTTTATAGAACTCAGAAATCCCACATATTTATTCATATGGACCTTAGCGACCGTAACCATGCAGCGGTGCTTCGACATTAGATCCATTGAATCTACACTGAAACCAATGCAAATGGTGATTGGAAAAGGCCGCCACCGCTCCCAGTTAGCCCCAGGGCAGCTGTGGCAAAGACAGCTCGAGGCTCACGTGTTTGACAGTGAGTGAAGGTGAAGAGAATCGCTGTGAGAGTTCAGAACGGCGCTTTATAAAGACCATGCATTATTAACGTCCGGAAGTGACAGGTTTATTGCAACTTTTCTGCCTCCGGAGAAACATATCTGTGTCTGTGTTCAACGTGATCAGTCATGAAAGAAAACACAATACATATCATTTGTGTTCACTTTACATTTTCTTTCTGTTTCCTTCTTCAGGCTCTTCCATTATCAATCAATCAATCAACTTTTATTTGTAGAGCGCCTTTCGTACACAACACCAAGAGCCTCGCAACCCACATCAGGCAATAAATCAGAAGCATTCAAATCTAAAAAAAAATAAACAAAAGAATAATAACACAGTTCAAATCCCACAGGGCATTTAAAAACACAACAAGAGCTCAAGATATATCAAAAACAGAAAAAATAAAGTAATTTTAAAACATTAAAATCATAAAAATATTCTGGCATAAAATAAGCACTAATAGATCTGTTTTGTTCAAAGGTTCAGGGAAATTCTGTTAGTTTTACAGTTTTATGCAAAGGAAGGTTTCTCACCCATCATCTGTACTTCTTAGCAAGTTTTCCCGACGTTTCGTCCTCAACCTGGGGACTTCTTCAGGGAATGAATTCTCGGACCGCGCGTTGGAGATTTATAACCTATGGGTGTGGTAAGCCACACCCTAATCCTGATACTAACTCGTAAACAATCTAAGGTCTGCTTGATGTAGAAGGGAGCAGGTCTAACAACCCTGCTGAGGCTAACGACCCTAACTCCTTAGCATGTCACAGACCTATTGTCTGCTGGGATGCTCAAGTGGAGTGCAGGTTTCACCCCTCCTAACTCATTAGCATGTCACTGACCTTGTCCCAAGTTAGGGCGTTGTTTTTAGGATGTCGTCATAGATGCGAGGCAAGACAAATCTTAACCCTCCTCCTCTGTTAAGAGAAGGTTTTTGTTTCCTCACAAAAATGGCTTCTTTCACCCCTCTCTCAAACCAATTCTTCTCCCGAGCCAGAATTTTAACCTCTGTTTTGGGAGAGACGCCCTGGTCTTGGCACGCGGGTTGGAGAAAATCAAAAGAAAACTAGCAGACGCCAGAAATCATCTTAGGTGTAGCCAGAGTAAACTTATCCCAAAATGTTTAAAGCAAAAAGCATTAGAAACAGGCCAGTTGGCAAGGAAAATACAACAAAACTACTGTATGAAGATTCTCAATTTAAGAATTCGACGACTTAACATAGAGATTATAAACCTAAAGGACGAGATAGAGGGCCTTAAGCACAAACTGGAATTGGCAGTCTCACCAGAGTTTTTTCAGAGGATTTGGACGTTTACGGAAACTGCCCAACTGAACCATCACAAGAAGGCCAAAGAACGTCAGATAGGCAAATTTCTAAAACTCCAAAACCATAATTCTTTTCAACATTCTAAAAGTGAAATTGGACAAGGTTTGGACAGGGAGAATTGGGTCAAAAATCTGTCTGATCGGCATTTATCACAAGCGGAAAAAGATGTTCTTACCAAAGGCCTAAATTTTGCAATAACCCCAAAAGATATTCCTACAATTGAATACATCACAGCAGCAGAAGCAGCCATTAGAAACAACAAACTAACTGAGAGTGAGGCAGGGGCCCTCAGACTGAGAGTCTCTGCCACACTCAAAAGTGCGAAGCCCCCACAATCCAATGTCTCATTAGATGAGCAAAAAGCATTATTGGCATTACAAAAGGATGAGAATATAACTATTTTACCAGCTGACAAAGGCAGATGCACAGTTATCCTCAACAGCTCAGACTATGAGGCCAAAGTTAATCAGTTACTCTTGGACACCAACACGTACCAGCCATTGAAGAGGGACCCTACCAGTGGGTTTAGGAAAAAGATTATAGACTTCCTTCAGAACTTAATGAAAGAGGGCATTATTGAAAAACCACTATATTACAAACTTTACCCAGGAGACACCATCCCCAGTATTTATGGCCTCCCAAAAATACACAAACAAAACTTTCCACTTCGGCCTATTGTATGTAGCATAGACTCTATCACCTACAACCTGGCTAAACACCTCAAAACCATTCTGGCTCCTTTGGTGGGTAACACCCACCATCACATAGAAAACACAAAAGAATTTGTAAATAAAATCAAACACCTCCAGTTTGACACAGATGAGACAATGGTCTCGTTTGATGTGACATCGCTTTTTACGTCGGTCCCTATTACAGAGGCGGTGGAGGCTGTAAGAGAAAGCCTACAGAAAGACGCCACACTAGGGGAGAGAACGAAACTAACAGCTGACCACATCTGTGAAATACTTGAAATGTGTCTTAACACCACGTATTTAGAGGCACCTTCTTTAGACAGATTCATGGCTGTGCGATGGGCTCCCCAGTCTCTCCGATAGTGGCCAATCTGTATATGGAGAAACTGGAGGAACAAGCCCTGGGCTCTTACCAAGGGACAGCGCCAAGCCATTGGTTTCGATATGTAGACGATACATGGGTTAAGTTAAAGAAACAGGAAGTGGAACCATTTTCAGCACACATTAACTCGGTGGACCCTTTTATAAATTTCACTCGCGAGGATGCTAAGGAGAGTGAACTCGCCTTTCTAGATTGTAAGGTCATCATACTGGAGAACGGACAATTAGAGACTGAGGTCTTCAGAAAGTCCACTCACACTGACCAGTACCTGGCCTTTGATTCAAATCATCCGCTACAACACAAACTCGGGGTCATTAGAACGCTTCAACACCGAGCCCACCAGGTCCCCACTAGCTCGGAGGGAAAGAACAGAGAAACCAAACATGTTCAGAGAGCACTTTCCAGATGTGGCTACCCCAAGTGGTCTTTTACTAAAGCCCAAAGGACGAGAAAGGCCAGAGACACAGTCCAACAGAAGAAAGTAGGAGGAGAGGCGTGTCCTTACCGTATGTGGCGGGAGTTTCAGAGAAACTACAAAGAATCTTTAGGCAACACAAAATCCCTGTGTATTTCAAACCTTTCAACACGTTAAGACAGAAATTAGTGCATCCCAAAGACAAAACACCCAGACACAAACAGAGCAATGTGGTGTATTCAATTAAATGTAGTGAAGAGGAGTGCACTGACCACTATATTGGAGAAACCAAACAAACTCTACAGAAACGACTTTACCAACATCGTAGAGAAAACTCTAGTGGGCCACAGTCGGCTGTTCATCTCCACCTCAAGGCCTCCAACCACACGGTGGATGACACAGAGGTTAAAATTCTGGCTCGGGAGAAGAATTGGTTTGAGAGAGGGGTGAAAGAAGCCATTTTTGTGAGGAAACAAAAACCTTCTCTTAACAGAGGAGGAGGGTTAAGATTTGTCTTGCCTCGCATCTATGACGACATCCTAAAAACAACGCCCTAACTTGGGACAAGGTCAGTGACATGCTAATGAGTTAGGAGGGGTGAAACCTGCACTCCACTTGAGCATCCCAGCAGACAATAGGTCTGTGACATGCTAAGGAGTTAGGAGGGGTGAGACCTGCACTCCACGTGAGCATCCCAGCAGACAATAGGTCTGTGACATGCTAAGGAGTTAGGGTCGTTAGCCTCAGCAGGGTCGTTAGACCTGCTCCCTTCTACATCAAGCAGACCTTAGATTGTTTACGAGTTAGTATCAGGATTAGGGTGTGGCTTACCACACCCATAGGTTATAAATCTCCAACGCGCGGTCCGAGAATTCATTCCCTGAAGAAGAAACGTCGGGAAAACTTGCTAAGAAGTACAGATGATGGGTGAGAAACCTTCCTTTGCTTTGACTAATCCCTGTACGACTGAGGGCTTACACAAACTTTACAGTTTTATGTCAAACTAAACCCATAATCCCATAAGGATCAAGGAAGTATTGTTCGCTGGACGCCTTGTGATGTGTGTATTCATCAAAACCTGAAATAAAAGGACCTTCTTCTTCATTCATTAGGTCCAGTAGGTATTTCTTATGGTTTGAAATGATCCTTTGAGTAGCTACTTTGAAGAGTGTGATGGTGAGCTACTGGTATCTCCCGAGCTTTAGGTGTGAGATCCATGAACTAGACTAGAGGAACCTTCCAAAGCAGAGCCAGACCTGTCATGTCAAAAAGTGGAGCTCATGCGAAAAGTTCTGTTCGGATTTTGATTCGAGAAGTGATCGGTCGTGATTTGGACTTTTCTTTCTTTGCAGAGAAGACAACTCCAAATCACTACCGACCATTATTCACAAAAAACCCAAATTTTTTCGAGGACCTCCACACTCTCTTTTTGGCTTCTCTCTCTGCGCCTTCGGCAGTAACTCCAGCCGACACCGGGGACAGTGACAGGCGAAAAGGAACCAGCACACACATTCTCTCACACACACACACATTCTCTCACACACACACACACACACACACACATTCTCTCACACACACACACACATCCTCACACACACAGGTAAAGTTTCCCATCTCGCCAGAGCTCGGTCCGCCCCCGCCACTTCCAGGACTTTTGGCAGACAGTCACTATAGCTCTACTCCTCGGTAACCTCTGCTTGGGAGAAAACAAGAAAGACTTCCAGGCTGCCTCCGTTCCCACTATAGTCGACAAGCCAACTGATTCTTCTTGTCACCCCGGGAAAACATCCAGGGCAAAGGCCTGGCTCCACTGCATCCGCGGACTCTTTGGTGAGAAGCTATGAGATTATTATTATCAGACAGGGGAGAAGGGAGGGGGAAGAGAGCGCAGGTTAAAAATGAGTTTTTCCCTTTTCCGGACAGGTTTAGGGGTTGGGGGGGGGGGGGGGGGGGGGGGGGGGGGGGGGGGGGGGTTATTCCAACTTTTGCAGGAGTTCCAGGAGCTTGTCAAGGCGATGGGAGAACTTTCAGAAGTGCTGTAATGAGAGGGAAGGGAGGTGGCTTTGTTCTGGTACTGCTTGAGGTTGCAACTTTGTGTTTTAAAAAAGTGTACAGACACTGAAATTGTGCAAATGAAACCAATAAAACATAGAATAAATGTTTGTCTGAGCTTAAAGTTAATTTGAAGATTTCTTCAGCAAGACTTCAATGTATTTCTTTTTTTTTTTTGCAAAACCAGCCATTTCTCACTTACAACTGTGCTCGACATCTTGTTGGAAGTCTTTCATCTTGTTCCATTGGCAGTTATTACAACACTGTCAGCATGTACTCAAAGACATATGGCTTGTTTTGAGATAATCAGAGTCTATATAGTTAAAAGTTTAAGAAAGATGTGAAGAAAATGAATCAAACCCAGGACCTTCTGAGTGATTTGGCATCATCCATCCATTTTCTTCCCCTTAATCCATTTCTGGGTCAGGGGGGGTGGCAGTCAAAGCTGCACCCAGTCCACAGAGCACCAGCCCCTCACTGATCCTCCTGCAGGTGGTGAGTCGACAGGAGCTGATCTTTCAGTGGGGGCTTCAGGCAAAGTGGGGTTAAGTGTCTTGCCCAAGGACACAACGACAGCAGTCATCAGCGGGAGTCGTGAAGTAGGTCTATGATGGGCTCGAACCCACGACCTTCAGGCTCAAAGGCCAATGCTCTACCAACTGAGCCACTGTCGCCTATTAAAATCAATAATAGAAATATAAAAATGTAAGACAAATTCAGGTTAAAGTTTTTGAGAAGCCAAGGTGCTGTATAGAAAGTGTCCTGGATGTACACAATCTGCTATAGAGTGGCACTTAAAGCTAATATAGTTCATTATTTTATTTGTTTGTTTGGAAATGCCAAGTAATAATTAGTTTGCAAGCTCTAGATGAAAGTGAATTGCCTGGAAGGAGAAACAGCTCCTCAAACCCAATCAATACAATTACTTTAAATATAATGATAAATATATATATATAACATTTACCACGCATCACAACGCAACACTACAACAGGCACTACATCAATTATCCGTCCGACAATAGACACACAGACACACACACACACACACATATCGTTTTTAATTAGCTGGCTGACCTGCTGCTGTTTACTGTACCTCACACTGAAACACTTTCCCACAACGATGTACTCACAAAGGATTATAATTCCAAGTCCTTTTTCAATTTATGTGTAAATGTCAGCATCTCATTACAGGATAAATAACACTAGCGTTTGTGCGTCTCCGCCGGAGGGACGGCGCTGATGATTAGGTCAATATTGCGTGGCGCTAGCTGAGGGGGCTACACACACAGAGCACGGGCTAAAACAACAAAGGTCTTTTATTAACGGAATCCATCAGGGCGCTGACGGATGCCACATTAAGGGCGGAGTGATGGAGGCTCCTGTCCCGGGGCCCGAGACAGGGGTGCTCTGTGTCGCCCGGTTTGTTTAGTGTCTCCGTCCGTCAGTGAGGAGCGAAGCCGAGAGAGGGATTGTTGTTTAGTCGGTTTTTGTAATGAGGAAACGTGGAAAGGTGTGCGCTTGTGTCGGGGGTTTGGATTTACTAATTGATGGACTTTGGCTTTAGAATGAGATGTTTGGCTAAAGACCGAGTCCAATGAGATGTATTTGGTCGTCTGATAGATACGACAAGTTGATTATTTTCTTCTTTTCTCCTTTCAGCAGGCCTCTAAAACACAACAACGTGTTTCAACAAGTGCACTACATCCATTCAATCCTGAGTCAGGCAATACACACACACGTATGTATAATGTAATTTTGCTTTAGAATGACAATTAACCTAAAACTGAGTCCAATGAGATGTATTCGGTCGTCAGATTGATACGACAAGCTCATTATTTTCTTCTTTAACTTGAAGAAACCTTTCATTATGCCTCTAAAACGCAGCAGCAAGTTCCAAGACGGGCACTACTTAAATCTGGAGCCGGGCAATTATATATTTACACATGTGGTGGTTTACATAATTCACCCATGGAACTAAGGTTACCCTTGCAGTGTTCCAGGGAGGACAGTTTATACCTGTACACACTTTTTCCCTGTTTTAATAGTTTGGTTGTGTAAGGAAAGTTGATGTTCTTGCTGGCTGTTAGATGGCATTAACAAGTACATTTGTCACCGCTGTTTGACACACTGCCTCCGACTCCACTCCTTACGCACAACACACACACACACACACACACTCTCATGTATGTGTAATTTTGCTTTAGAATGACAATTAGTCTTGAGACCGAGTCCAATGAGATTTATTTTGTCGTCTCATAGATACAACAAGTAGAGTACTTTCTTTTTTTCTTTAAACCACTTTTCTGGTCCTTAAAAAACAATTAAATTGTAGTAGTCTAACAACCCAAACCTGTGAAGTCAATGTTTCCATAACTCTAACCAAAATGAAGACATGAATAGTTTATGGCCACAACGCTAAACTTTTATCACAAGGTCTCTGTTGTTTTCTTTGTGGAAATAGTTCAGAAATTCTTAACTAAATCCAGTAATGTTTGGATTGAACCAAGACTGGGCCAAAGGTAGAGAATGGTGAGTATTGCAGCCTGGTCCAAAGTATGTGCTGAGAGAGACACAACAAACACAAGAATTTTAAATAAAAGTATCGCACTTCCTACTTTTCCATACCTAAAAACTGGTCAGATGTATACATTTTGTATTAAACCACATATATTTGTTTTTTTTGGTTAAAAGTTTCCCCCATGATTTTTTTTTTTCATGGTAAAACTTGCTATTAAATGGTGTAAAACCAGAGAGAGAGAATACATAAAATAAATGATGGGATTTTTGTCTCATTTTGTTTCATTGTTGAAGAATATGTAAATTACAGCCATCTCCGATTTTCACAGTTGACGGCTGACTTATTATTATTTTTTTTTTGCCTCATCGTATTTAAAAGTAAGAGAAAAGTCAGATTTTAAAACCATAATAGAGGCCACAAAAAACCTCTAGCAGGATTCATTCCACGGTGGAACCAAACTTCTAAACCCTCGTCACTGAACACAACTACTGAAAACATTTTGCCTCTTTGCCCAAAACTTCAAAGCAACCTTTCCTCAAGTATTTACCCCTTTTTGAAGCAGCATTCTCTTGGAAGTTCCTGATTATTCTCCCTCGCCTCATTCCAGACCCCGACCACATTCTGCCCATGTTTGTTCTGCTCGGGCTGAATTGTCACTCATGGACAGAGTCAACATTTAATCTGGAGGAAGCCATCCGTGGCCGGTTTGCTTTTCCGCCTAAATGCCACACACGAAAGGGGGCTGACAGGCATGCAAACGTCTGGGTCAGGGGTCCGGCTCGCCATGGGACCCTGGGTGAGCTGCATCGCTAGGTTTGTTTGACCCGTAGCATAGCAGGTGGGAATTGTGAAGTGGAAGTAAAGGAAATAATGGTCTCCGCTGTAAATAGTGTTGGCCGGAACAGAAGAACTGACCTTTGCCACAGAAATGGTCCCTGAATGTATGAGTTATTACTTTGCAGGGGTAAGATTGGAAGGAGACATATGCACTGCAAAAAATGATCAAATATGAGATCATAATTGCTAGAATCGAGTTTTTTTTAACTTGACTTAAGTTCATTCTGACTGTCTTAAAATGAGATTTGCCAATGAGACAAGCAATTTTGACTTGCTTTATTTTCTCATTCAAGAAAAAAATATCTTGTATTGGCAGTCAAAATGTGCTCATATTTAGATACATTTAGCCAAATTTGAGCTTCTGTCATCTTTGCAGTGTGGTGGGCGTTTATGCTGTCTGGTACTCGGGTTTACCATGGACAGATCACAACGGCGCTCGGATTATAAGGTTACTCTAAAAAGACAAAAGTGTGAAGTCTAGTGCTGCCTAATCACCACTATTTCTAACATTGGAGGTGGGTCTGACAGAGTGGGAAGATCCATGAGACTGACCACGCCCCTCGTCGTGCTCTGGTCTCTGGGGAAGTGTGAGCCAAGGTGAAAGCCCCCTCATCTCTGTTGATGGTCCATGCTGCCAGTTTCCTGGTTTGTATCATCTTCTGTATCCTCTTTTTTTTTTTACGTTTTGCTGCTCTGATTAGTTTTGCTTTTTCTCTGCCCATAATACGACTCTCTCTTTTGCAGCGGTCAGATATGGCCTAAAAAACTCCATCGAGAAATCAATAAAGTTTATCTTATCTTATCTAGGGGTCTTATATACTGTATAGGGGTGGGATTAAATGCGTTTTTACTTCTTCACACTCCCTTTCGTACATGAAACAAGACAATTTATTATTATTTGTATTATTATTATTATTATTATTATTATTAATACGACTATTTTATTTACGGATACTTCTATGTTAAACTGAATATTATTACTATTTATTTTGGTGCTTTTGTTGTGAACTTATATATACAATTTGTCTGAGTATCTTGTTTGGTTAAGTCGTGTACTTTGGCTTGTACGAAATGAAAATAAATTAAATGAAATGAAATCTTACATTTTTGTCTTGATAGAAAGCCCTAAAAGCCTTTGAAGACATTGTATGCATTTATCATGTTGTTCATTTTCTACTACATGTAACCAAAGATTACAAGGCTTTCTGATGACATTTTCAGAAGTTACAAGAATAAAATGCCACTGTCCTGAGATGATAAAATATATCCATAAATGATGGTAAGAATATTCCAGTTCGACAAAGTAACATCAAGTACACACTCAGATGCAAATTGCTTAAGAAAAATGTAGGGAACAGGGAACATAAGCCTCAATTGCGTGTCTTCTGTCCTGTTTTCCTTCCTTCTAAACACAACCAAAACCAAATCTCTGCTCAAACTAACAGCATTAAACACTGGACATCGCTATGCAGGCATCAACACATTTACTCATATCTTCAAAAATCTTCCAAACACACGCTCTGGTCGGCTGAAAAAAGCCAGTCACTAAATAAATCAAAGTAAAAGTCCAATCTGCATTTCGCCCCATGCCTGTGCTCCAGTTACCCAGTGATACCCCTGAATCTCTTGATCGCC